CCACAGGCGGACTCCCCGTCTAGGGAAGACAAAGCCAGGCAGACAAGCATCGAGCCAGCTCCCATGTCAGAGGATGAAGAGAGCACATCCAGCCAGTCACAGTCAGAGAAACAGGACAACACTGAAAAATAGGCCAAGCTCAAACATCTATAAACAAAGGTGTTGATGGAAGCAGCACAGCTCCAGGATGGAGTCACAGCCAAACAGGAACAGACCAGATTAATGTCCTATGGCGTTATGATGTGATCCTGACATGATCAGAGTCCAGCCACACAGAGTCTCTCTGCTCTCAGTGAAATATGGCGTCTGGGAGAAGCCGCTGCCACATGCAGTGGAATCTCTTCCTTTAAACTCTGTAGGTCAAATTATTATGCTTTAGCAATACAGAGGTTTAAACCAGCAGGGGGTGATTCCAGCTCCTGAGGGCCGGTATCCTGGAACTTCTAACTGTCCTTGGTCCAACACTCCTGAATGAACTAACTAAATGATGAAGGGAAAGCTGGAGAAACGTGCCGCATACTGAGTCACTCAGTTCAGGAGTGTCGGACCAACAATGACTCTAAAAGGTGGAGAACGGGAACCAACTATCCTGATCTAAGCTGATCCAGAGGTGAACTTACCTCTGGAAACATTGACCTGAAGTAGACAATCAATGTCAGCACATAGGCCAACATCACAGGGTGTTGTTGGTTTTTCTTTTTCTTTAACTTGCTTTATAAATAAGCTGTAATTTTTTGTATTTAACCTTTTAATACCAATGAACATAATCTGGATTGTTCTCCAGCTGATTCTCTGCTGAACGTTTCTGCTTTTTTTTTTTTTTGTCCACCAGGTGATGATCTGGAACCTGGACTCTCCAGAGCAGGTGATAAAGAACCCCGTCCGAACCATCCAGCACCACACAGACGTCGTCCTGTCCATGTCTTTCAATACGGACGGGAGCCTTCTGGCCACCACCTGCAGGGACAGGAAGGTCCGGCTGATGGAGGCGCGCTCAGGGAACGTGCTGCAGGTGTGTTTGTCACAGCGTTTAAATCTGGAGTCAGAATGAGAGCGATTCCATAAACCTTGGTGCAACAAGACCGGAGAAACTGTTAGACTATGGTCAAAAAAGAAAGGAGTCCTTCTCTGACCTGAACCTGTAGAACCCTTGTTTAAAGCCACATCATCACTGCTAAAATCAACATGAATAAAAATTGTGTTTTGGAATAAAATAAATGTTCACTGGAAAAAAATCTAAATCTAGATAAATAATTATTTCTTAAAATAAGTGCATTTTTTCTTGAATTGAGATTTTCAGAGAGACATTTTGCCAATGGGAACAAGATAATTTACATTTAAAATAAGAAAACACAATTGCATTGTCTTATTTCAAGTGCATTTGATCTTAATATCTTCTTTAAGAGTAAAAATACTAATTCCATTGGCAGATTATCTTATTTACCTACTCAATTTAAGGGTAAATGCACTTACGTAAAAAGTTAAAATAAGGAAAAAGAGTTTTATTATTTATTTCTACATTGTTTTTCCAGTGTTGAGTTTATCATTCAGTGAAAGATTTAAAGAAATGACAAAACACAAGATCCAGATGTTTGAGCTTCCGTTCTTTATGCTTCCATATCAAGATCCACAACATGTTTCATCCAATCGCCCCATCTCCATCTGTGCAGAAGGTCCCTCTGCACATATTCAGAACCTTGCTGATTATTTCAGGTCCAATCCAGCATTTTTAGGAATAACTAAAGATTGAAGAAACTCCCCTCAGAGGTGATAACTGATCATGTTTGAGATGCTGTCAGTGTTTTAATGCTGTGGGTCATGTAACGGACGCATAACTCATCCAACCATCGTCACTAATCCTTCACCATAAACAGGAAGTTCATGTTAATCCATGCGGCATTATCTGATCAGATCAGATTTTGCATGCTGGCAGCGGGCCCTGCCCTGCTGACACCTACTGGCTGTCTGTGCTTCTGCGCTGAGCTCAGACATCAACATGTGGAGACTTGAAAGGTCGTAGTTCCAGACTGGGATGCAGGTGAAACCCCCTCTGAGGCAATATCTCCATTTTCTGCTGCTGCTTTGATAAACTGGTCAAAATTTCTTGATAAATCCCTTTACCTATGCATAGTCCTAATGGAAAAAAAAAACAAAACACATTTTTTAAAGACTTTAAAACCGATGATATATTAGGAAGGTCAGTCCAGTATCGATTTGCTGCAGCCTTCCCAGGAACAGCTTTTTTCTGATCCGTTTCCTGAGCTCCTCATCTGTTTTATTCCTTCTCACAGCAGACTGTGTTTCAGCACCATATGACCAAAACTGACACCTTTTGCACCATCAGATTCAAACTGAATAATAATAACCGATCGTTTGTGATGTCATCTGATTATCTGCATAAAGAGAACCAGAAGTTCACCTCTTTATAACCCGCCATAATCATTTTGTACCACATTTTCTACTGTATAAAACCAGTCTACATCGGATGGTTGTTGCTCTTTAAGCCTTCGGTGGGTTCAGAAGAGAAGTTGTTCTCTGATCTGTTCTCACATTAATGAACATAGGAGTTTTTCTTATTTAGACCATGGAAAGAGTTTCCTTCTATATGAATTATAAATGTCATGAATTTTTTGTTCTACGTGTGTAAAAAGTCTCCCAAAATTCTTTGATGGCACCGTGGCACTAGAATTAAATCTGGGTTTCAGTATTCCTGTGTTTCATTATTTTGGGTTCGTGTCTAAAGGCTGATTTATACTCAGAAACCAGGGTGTGTGTCGCAGTGAATGCAAATGTGCCTCCGCCCTGCCGCAGCCACGCTGCTGCACCTCTCCAGAATTGTAGGTGACCTCAGACAGTGCTGCAGACAGGAGGCCTCTGATTGGTCAAATCTACATCCGCTCTACTCTATGCGTATTTCCTGTTTGGTACCTTACCGGCTTGTTTTGTTTGTATGACCGCCATTGTGGAAAACGACTCGTAAAGATGGACCAGCTAGAAGAGCGAGGTGCACCAGAACGCTGGGACCCTTTTTCCACCTGGATCCCCGCTATTTTTCACCCTCATGTCCCTCCATTGTTTGAAAAACTTGCCCCCACTTCCTCACCGCCTCGGCCGTATCTAGACCCACAGCTAGTTCCTGATTGTCCCTCTTGCGTTGTGGTGTGAAATAACATAGCACAGTCCACACTTCAATATTGGGCATAAATCAAAAATATCTGCATCAAGCTCACTGCAACACACTGCTGAGGGAGGATAACCAGCCCTTAAAAGTGATGCATAGGCCTCAGCAGTGTAAAAACAATTAATCTAACAACTTTCCTGTTGTATTGGAGACACTGATGACAACAGAGCAGTGATTGCTCTTAGTTTACCGTCTCTAGCGAACAGTGAGCGAGCCCCTTCCTCCAAGGCAGCGGCCAAGAGCAGCTCCTCTCGTTCGCTTAAAACGATACAAACTAGAGATCAAACCCGCATCTATGATCGCCAAGGCCTACTGGAGCTACGGTCACAAAATGTTTTAAATACTGACATTTTTTGACCATTTTAAAAGCTGCAGAGTGCTACGGATGGATGTCAACAAACAGCGGGAAAAAAAGGACGGAGGAAGAGATGCGCAAGACGGAGAAAGTGAGGCTGCTTAGGGTCCGCTTCCATCAATCCTGCTCTCCAGCGTCCGCTCGTTGGAAAACAAAATGGATCATCCTCGACTTGATCTCTCTTCATAAAAGGAGACATGTAACTAATGCACCATCATTCTGATAGAGTCATGGCTGCATCAAACAATACCGGACAATGCTGTTGGCCTGGAGGGGCTGATGCTGTACCACGCCGATAGAAACAAAGAGCTCTTCCTTAATTGGAGGCTCCTCTGAGACTGTTCCCAGGAAATCTTCAGCATCTAGAGGGGAAGCACAGCCCTCTGCAGGTGAAAATGAGGAGAGCACTCTAGTTGCTTCCCTGAAGATGCTGAAACATCCCCAGCCTGCCCCTCCTGGCCCCCTCCGGCTTCCACAGCTTCTCCAGCATCGTCTGTCGCTGCTAAACCTGCCGATGGCACCACTGCTGCTTCAACCACGGCATCCGCTTCAACCCAGGGGGCTATCACCCTCACAGCATCGTCATCATCCTCTTCCTCCCCTGAGCCAGGAGAAGTGAGTGCTTCAGGAGCTGGAGGCAGTAGCAGCAGCTCAACAACAACTGCTGCTTACCTTAGCAAGCCTGCACTTCAAAAAATGAAATTGTCTAGAGAGCTGTTCTAAACAAAATTTCTTTTTGTTTACACTTGTGTAATAAAAAAATGAAAAAATAAATCTAAGTCTAAGGATGCAGCAGCTGCAGCCTGTCTGCAGACAGACTCTCCTCTCTTCTTTCATTGAAGATGGGTTACACACGGCAAAGCTTCCTCTGATTCCCCCTGAAGTAAAACTCTGTGTAAATATAATAAGTAGCTGTGTATTGTAATAGAATAGCATGTGGTTTCAGCTGCCCTAGTGAACACACCGTCATTGTCTCAGGGCAGAGAAAATTGATGTTTTCATTACTTTTGAGGCCTAATTTTATGTCTAGTTGTGTTTTTAATTATTTAAATTGGAATTGGTGATTAACAAAACATTTCTGTGACAAACTGAGAACACACATTTTATATTCAACACTCTTAAACATAATGGAGATCTTGGTTAAATTTAATCCCAGTCCTCGTGTCCCTGGGTTTGGCATCCCCTGAATCCAATCAGACAGAGCCCACATTTTTTTAGATTTGATATGCAAAAAAAATGACATGTTCTGACATCTTCTACAACAATTCTTTTTTAAATAGTTTATCATTTTTTAATTCTTATCGTTGATGTGTTTAGCAGATATTTTTTTATTTTGTTGTTTGTTGTTTTAGTTCTTGATCCAACGTCCATTGTGACGCAAATGCTTTTAATTTGTACAAAGTTTTGTTATTGAAAACGGAACAATCGTATTAAGATATCCTGTTTCCCATTCAATAAACTGCTCTAAATATTTAAAAAATTTTTGTTTGGCTTTGAATATTATTGATTAGTTTTTACCTTTTTTACAGTCAAACTGAGTTTAGAGTCATTTTCTAATTTTTCCCCCAGATCTTCACACATTAATTAAAATATGGTTATTAACAATAAGCAGTATAATTGATGTAATACATTTTGATCTAATAAATATTTGGTATAAAATCATCACCTTTTTCTAATTTTATTTTAAATCGTTTACAACTGTAATGATTTTTTTTCCTTTTTCAATATTAACAAACTGTATTTCAAGTTTTCCTTTATCTGCCTCTTTGGAGTTTTCAAGAAAAAATATTTTATTTGAATTCTATCATTTGCTTCAATGAACCACATTGTAGATAAGTAAACAGAAAAAGCAGTCTGTCCAAACGCCAAAGAAAACAGACTGTAAATGCCTCTAAATCTCTGTTTTGTTTTGTTTTTGGTTTGCAGGAAGCAAATTGTAAGTCGCATAAAGCCAGTAAGGTGCTGATTTTAGGGAACCTGAAGATGCTCATCACATCTGGCACTTCTCGCTACAACGATCGACAGATAGCTCTGTGGGATCAGGTGAGAGAGCAGAATCAGGATTCTCTTTCTTTTATTATTTACCAAATTAGCTTTTATTTATTTATTTATTTTTTTAATGTTCCTGTTTCAAACTTCTGTATTAAACCCAACCCTGCCATCTAGTGGCCAATTTAATTTACTATGCAAAAATGGATTGTGGATTTTAATTCAGTGGATCAAACTGTGTTTTTTAATTTATTTTTAATTTATTTTTTTAACAAAAGTTTGTTTCTCTGTGTGCGTTTGCAGGAAGACCTGTCGGTGCCTTTGTTGCAGGAGAACCTGGACGGTTCCTCAGGGGTGATCTTCCCGTTCTACGACCCTGACACACACATGCTCTACCTTGCTGGAAAGGCAAGACTGGCTCATTAGAGAAAAGACAGCCAAAAAAAAACAAAATCAAAAAGCTGAAAATGTTTTGATATTTTTAGGGGGATGGAAACATCAGGTACTATGAGATCAGCTCAGAAAAACCCTACCTCCACTACCTGACGGAGTACCGCTCACACTCACCTCAGAAAGGAATGGGTAAGAAAAGCAAAACGTGGTCAAACTTTCTGTTTTTTTTAGCTTTTTTTTTTTTACCCAGGCTGCATTGACTCTTTGCACCTGTAGGCAAAGCTGTTGTGCAAATGAAGCTGTTGTATTTGATTAACCAAATCAGGTGCTGAGGAGCCTGCTGGCCGTCACCTTTCTAGACCTCTACCCTTCAACTATTCACATCAAAGACTACCGGAGTGTTGCTGCACTGAAAATCCTACAGAGATGCTTTATTAGTAATACATTTGAAGAAATAACACGCTAACCGAACAACATGGTCTGCAGCAACGTCCCCTGTTGTGTTTTTCTTGTCCCCATCAGATCTGGACGCTCTGAGCTTCATTTTTATACATTCAGATCAGAATACTGAGTGCCTGAGATAATGTGTCATTTGGAGTGCTAACTTGAGCTTTATCCTTCCAAACGAACAGAGCTTATACAGAAGAGACTGTTGTTAATCCTGTTCTTAAGCTAATTTTACACACCCATGATTTAAAGAAGAGAACCGGATGAATGCTGCGCAAATAATAGGATGATGATTTTAAGCTTCAGATTGACAGTCAGAGCTCACGGCACAATGGGATGCAGGAACTGATTAATTTCTAAGTTCAGGTTAATTGATAAACTAACATTTCCAGCTTTTTTAAAGGTGTCATGGAATGCAAAACCAAGTTTCCATTGTCATAGATGAATAACGATGGTTCAGTGGGTGAAATGGACGTACAGAGAAGTTCAAACCCCATCAACACCTCCTTTCTCTGCAAAATCTCACAATTCTAAACTTCCACCATAAAACAGGCGAATCCAAACGAAGCCCCGACTTGACGTAAACTCGTGGATGTTGCTTTATTTTGTTCTGGCCTGTACTTTTGTCGTTCCATCCCCCGCTGGCTCCCTGTTTCGACTACGTGCTGCACTGAAGTCCACCAAAATCCCAGAAAATTTTTTAATTCCCCCCGGACATTTTTTTAGGTATAAAAAGCAGGACATGTCAGGGAAAAAGAGGACATCTGGTCACCCTACCATATCAACAATGTTTCAGTAATTGAGTGCTTGTTGCTGTGATGCGTCATTGCTCAGCAGCTTTGAGCGTAGCATAGAAGGAAGAAAACCTGTCATTTCAACTTAACCAGGCTTGCATTAGGGCTCATAGAACAGCAAATATGCCATTTTCAGCCCAACCAATGTTACACATCCTATTCAGAGACCTTAAGGACCAGCACCAAATACCCTATAGAATCATTCTATGAGCCCTTTAAGATGTTTGGAAACCAAATAACCTAGGAGATGGGCTTTACAAGGTACTAAGAAAAGCTTGAATCTAAACACCGATGAAACCAGGACTGAAAATCTGTCTGTAGGTAAACTGTAAACCTAATGAATCAGAAGCTTCCTAAACAACCTTTAGCTGCTAAACTATCAGGAATCTTTTCTATTTCAGTTAGTGGTCGGTTCTGTATCCTCAGAGGTTTAATAACTTTGTCTCCGCACAGCTGTCAGGGGGTTCAGACACAGGGTGTCGGTCAGGTTGAGGCCTGGACTTGAACTAGACCAAAGCCTGGGTTCCAGTCTTATTAGGACATTCTGTTGTGTGATTACCTTTGGTGTTTGGGAGCCGAGCTTTACCTCTCAGACAAACGACCTTCAATTAAGAAAACAAATGCAGATTTTCAGCTAAAAAAAAGGCTCATGTTGAGCATGGTGGTGGAAGGGTAATGATTTGGGCAGCAAATCAGATTGACCTGATTATGAAGTCGGGTCACAATCTGACTAACTTCTTGGTTTAGTTAGACATAATCCAAAATTCTTTAATCTCTGATTTTACAGAATAACATTATGAATGAGACTTCTGTCCCATGTGTGAAGCTCTTTATGTCTTTTTTTTTTTGCAGGAGTAATGCCAAAGAGAGGCCTGGATGTCACATCATGTGAGGTTTTCAGGTTCTACAAAGTGGTGATAGTCAAGAGCCTCATTGAGCCTATTTCTATGATCGTACCCCGCAGGGTGAGAGCGCCCAGATTAACACACACCTCCAACACGGCACAGCAAGCATCAGACAACTTCTTTCATCTAGGCGTCATTCGTTCTGACTTTCTCTTCCTTTTTAGTCGGAGTCGTACCAAGAAGACATCTATCCAATGACGGCAGGTAACAGACCAGCGCTGACTGCAGAAGAGTGGCTCAGCGGCATCAGTAAAGGTCAGCAATGCTCATTCTTCTTATGAATAATCACCATTTGATCAAGCATGTTTTGTTCAGGTAGTTTCCTGTGCTCATATTCTTCCTGGTTTGGGTCTTTCAGGACCGGTTCTCATGTCTCTGAAGCCTGGAAGTGAACTAATGGAGCCTCCGTCAGAGCTGAAGGGGCTGACCAACTCCCTGGACACACGGCGCTCTCAGAGCAGACCCGGCATGCTGCGCCTCTCCTACATTCAGGACCAACTGGAAGCCAAAGAAGACGGCGAGCAGGCCAAGTCCGACAGGAGTTGGACGTCTGTGAGCAACGGGGACGACCAGGCGCATGGTTCCCCGCTGACAGAGAGCGAGGTGCGATTTGCTGATTATCAAACACAAGCCTGGATTTTAAATGATCCCATTTAAAATCCAGGCCTGCAAAAAAGTTGATGCTTATTTTCACCAATGACAGTTTTTAGACCTATAACAAGTAACAATTTCTTAGTTTATTTTTTATTTTTATTTATTTATACTTTTGAACAATTCTGATTTTTTACAAAAAGAAATTAAAGCTTCAAAAAAGCTTTTCTATTAATTTCTTGTTGTTTGAATTTAATGTCATAGTTTTAAGTAATTTAAAATTCCTGGCCCAGGATCTTTCTGCATGGAGTTTGAATGTTCTCCCTGTGCATGTGTGGGTTCTCTCCGGGTACTCCGGCTTCCTCCCACAGTCCAAAAACATGACTGTTAGGTTAATTGGCTTCTCGAAATTCTCCTTAGGTGTGAGTGTGTGTTTAGATGGTTGTTTGTCTCTGTGTTGCCCTGCGATGGACTGGTGACCTGTCCAGGTTGGACCCCGCCTCTCACCGTAGACAGCTGGAGATAGGCACCAAACGACCCTGCTTGCAATAAGCGTGACAGAAAATGGATGGATGGATAATTTAAAAATCAAAAGTGCATTTGTGTCCTAATCTGTTAAAAAATAAAAAATTGTTTTTTTGAAAATTGTCACATCCTGATAGAATTGTCACACCCCTTAGACTTGAGATATTTAAAGACATGTCAGCTGGACTTCATGTCTCAGACTGAGGTCATTCTCAGCAGACAGGATACTAGCTACTCGGAACCTCTCAACCTTTTTACTGTTACTGCACTGGAAAAAATCCAAATCCAAGTCATTTTTTCTTAAAATAAGTGTATTTGTTCTTGGATTGAGGAGGTAAAATATGCATTTTACCAATGGAACAAGACAATTTACACTTAAAATAAGAAAACACAGTTGTATTGTCTTATTTCAAGTGCATAGTCTCTAATTATCTTATTTTGAGAGTTAAAAACATTTATTCCATTGGCCAAGTATCTAATTTACCTACTCAAATTAAGCGTAAAATACACTTAAATTAAGAAATGTTTACTTATTTCTAGATCGTTTTCCCAGTGTGTGTCCCTGTGTCGTCAGAGGCGCCTTTCTTGACCCCCCGCTGTGTTTTATGTGTGTCTACAGCTGCGTCTGAAGTGCCTCAGACAGCAGGAGGAGATCAGGCGGCTGACGGAGCTCCTGAACCAGAGGGAAGTTCGCGTCAAACAACTCGAGCTGGAGATTAAGAACATCAAGAACTCTCAGAGCTAACTTTAGGAGTTCCCAAACATTCCTGATGCGCTGAGCTGCACCCCCCCACCCCACCTTCCTGACGGGACACTCTGGTTTAAAGCTCAGAATCCGAATCACCTCCTTCCTTCTTTAAAACTTCACAGCTCTCCTGACACTCGGACCTCTTCGTTGTTTCGACCACCTCGACACTCGGTGCACGTTCTTTTTTTCGTGTAAATAAACTTTTGAAGATGCACCTTTTTACCTTTTGCCCCATTTCTTTTGTACACGTCACATCTATGCAAGTTTACTGTTCATATGGAGTTTTTTTGTTTTTGTTCCTTCTGTAGTCCACAGATAAATGGAGGTTTGAGCTCCAACCATCTGCCTGAGAGCTAACGTTGCTGAACTTCCTTTTTGTGCTTGTTGTTATTGTATTTAAACTGCTGTAAGTCGACACAGCCGTGGTGTTTGAGTCTTGAATGTGAAAGAGCAACATGAATGACCCACCTTTGCTCTGCCTTTCCTTAAAGCTGCAGCTCTTTTTATCCCAGATTTTATTTTGAAATTGTCTCGATCCCAATTGATTTCTTTTTTTTTTTTTTCCAGGAATGATTGTGTGAGTTAAATCTGTACCTGCTGCCAGTTTGAATTTTTGAACTTGATTTTTATATTTATTTGAAGATGCGAGCGGAGAATACACCTTTTAACAATGAATTTAACCCAAGATTTGATTTTAGAAAATATACGAAGAGAAAATCTATAAAAATAAAAAAAAGTATCCAAAACCTGTTTTTGTTTGTTCATTTCATGACTTTTGATTGTCTCCCTTCATGCTTCCTTTGTTATTGTGACAGCTTTAATGTAAAAAAAAACATTTATTTTCTGTAACTTTCTGAAAAGTAAGTTCCTCAGAAGCTGATGAGGATCTTCTGACCCTATCTAGGATGTCCCACTCTACAGTCAGATTCAATAGATTAGACAATTATTCGCCATATGAAACATAGATGACATATAGAAAAATAACACTGCTGTTTTTTAAGCTTTATGGGGATTTAAGATTAGAATTTGTGATTCCTGAGAAAATGCAGTGTGAATGCTGTACGCTAAACTGTAAGTTCCAAGTTAAAAAATGGCAGAAAAAAAGAAAAATTTTAACCAAAAATGCCTGAAATGGTCCGAAATTGCAGAAAACAGAAATGCTTCATTTCTTTCCTGAAAAGTAGTAGAAGATAACTTAAATAACCCAACAGAAACATGGCTGAAATGTCATGAATTAGAAACAGAAAAAGCTTAAAGCCTGTCCAAGAAGATCTCAGAAGTATATTACAGATATCAACAAATGTCACTAGTCATAAAACACATTTGAGATTTCTCACTTTATTCCGGCTGACTGTAAATCCAATTAAATCTCTCAATTACCTTGTTATTCAAGATATCTTCAATGTATTTTAAGATATCTTAAAGCAGGATTTGATGAGTGGGAATTATATTGCAGATATCTTGAAAGCAAATAATGATTAGATGAATCCATGTTATAGATATTTAGAAATGTATTTTTAACTAGTCAAAATTCCCTTTTAGATACCTCAAGAAGTGTTAGATATATCTTAAAAAATGCTTTTAAATCTAGCTGGACTGTATTTCAGATCCTGAATCACAGGCGTAACTTTCTGAAGGCCTGCTGTGGACATGTCCCCACCAATAATTTCAATACATAGACTTTGGCTCTCAACAATATGTGGGACAATTTGATTTTGCCGCTTTTAAAGGAGGATAATCACTGATGTAGCTGAAAGGGAAAACATCCATCAATCAATCCACATTTTTCTGGATGGATGAATGAAACTGAAATTGTGTCCATACTAGGGAGGCATGATATATTGCTGTTGGTATCGAAATCGGCTGTTATTCATCCTTTTTTTTCCTTCAATATATTGATGTCTAACTACCCATAAATATAAATATCGGTGTATTTTTGTTCTTTTGTGTTCTAAACAATAGGAAATCATTCAATAAATATATATTTCAGCTCAGTTTTGGAAAATAGTCGAGTAACTGTAGGTCCATCAGCACCCACCCTTAAAGTGTCCCCACCAACTTTCATCACAAAGTTACACCTTTGTCCTGAATCATTCTGAGTCAAAACTTCCCACTACATCAAAACGTAGTGGAAATATTACAAAGGCATCTTAGCCTTTCTGGTGTTTGATATTCAGTGGTTTGCAATGTCAGATATGTCAAATATGAATTTTCTGGTTTAGAACATGACTTTTTGTGCTGCAGCTTGTGCTTGAACTGGTTCAGACTTGAATGGACAGGTGTGAACAGTAGCACTTTTTAGCTCTCTAAAGCCCTTTTTATGTGCAATGTGTGTTTCGGGAGAAAGTAAACTGGAAATTCTCTGACTGTGGTGAAGTTAGTTTTAAGTTGTATATATTCAAACTCTGCAGAGTTAATTCAATTCAATTCAGTTTATTTATATAGCATCAATTCACCGAACGTGTCATCTCCAGGGACTTTACAGTTCACCAGATCATACAGCCAAATTGATTCAAAGTTTTCTATCTAAGGAAAACCAGTTGATTGCATCGACTCATTGACTCAAAGACAATCCCTCACGCTAAGCATGCTTGTAGCAACAGTGGAGAGGAAAAACTCTTTTTACAGGAAGAAGCAGCCATCTGCTGAGGCTCACTGGGGTTCTAGGAGACGGAAGCATTTAGGGTTATCCACGGCCATCGCTCCCACACCGTGTTCACTCTGAATGCTCCTTAAGAGACCATCACCCCAGCTGGAGTCTGTGCATATGTGGGGTGGGTACTGTCTCTTTCTGCCAGGGTGTAATGAGTGATTGATTTTTTTTTGTCATGATTGTTGCAAGCAAAGGACATGTTTTGTAAAAAATTGTTAAAAAACCAAACAAAGATGCAGTCGAAATATAAACATTTTAAAAACTTCCTTTTTTGAGAGTGAATTTGATAATAAAAAAAAAAAAAATCATAGATTTTAATCTTTTACAGCTTTATTATCAAATTTTCTTTTTATTTTCTTTTTAGTTTAGTTTTACAAATGTCCATTTCAAATTACTTTTGCAGATCATGTTTTCTTCATTTCTGAGGGTTTCCTCTTTGGTGCGGAGTTGCATTTCTATCGGTCTAGTCTACATGTACATTAGCAATAACCTAATGTGATTTGAAAATCTCATTCTGAAAAACAGAAATTGGAAAACATTTTGAAAATATAAAATCTGTAAGAATAAAATATTAATGTCAAAAAATAAAATTTTAATAATGAAAAAGGTCGAAGAAAATAGCAAAAGTACGCAAGTTTCATTTGCGGATTGCATTTTTTATTATTTACATATGCAAAAACATGATCTTTGCTTGGACCAATAATGGAACAAAATTAAATTCATAGGGTATAGATGATCATAGAGTCACTGTGGAAAATTAATCAATACTGGAAAGATAATAGATGGATTTAGTAAATCAAAATTATATATTTGTTTATACAGACAAATTGGTTTTAAAACCTCCGTAGTGTAAATAATTGTATGTCGTTTTAGAGAAATGTGTTTAAAAGGTGAGTAAAACTCAATTCAGTGTTTTTTTATATAGTGCTAAATCACATTGCATGTCAAATCAAGGCACCTTGCAGAGACATTACAGTCAGAATGGTAAAAGTTTCTAATAAGAAAAACCAGCTGATTGCATCGAGCTGCCGTTTCTAATTTTCAGGTTTTCTTTTCAAACTTCTAATCCAAACATTTTGTTATGGGTCTGTAATAAAAGGCGGTTGTCAGGATTCTGCCCTCTGTTTATTTTTAGTTTCTTTGCTTGAAAAACAACTATAAATACAGTGTTTTGTTCTTGAGTTACTCTCTGTTCCCCCCTTTGTGTTTGTTTCCTTTCCCTTTGGCTTCCTTCTAGTTGCTTCCGTTCACACCTGCTCCCAATCAGCTCATTAGTCCAGTCTTTGTTCTGTCTCCTATATATACTCTCCCTGTGCAGTTCCTCAGGGCTGGTTCCTCGTCTTTTCCTGGCTCCCCACGTGAGTTGTCCCATGAAGTTTTCTGGTTTTTGGTTCCTTGTATTTTTGTACTTTGGTTTTTGTACTTTGGTAATTCATTAAATCTACAAAATTAACCTCTGCCTCCTCACCTCTGCATTTGGGTCTTCAAAATCTCCACCCAACCGTGACCGGCGTAACCAACTTCTGGAACCATGTACATCAGGCTTTGTTTGGAAAAACCTCTACAGTTCATCTCTATCAAGTTTACTCTCAGAATCAGCATGTTTGGTGATGCATCACCATGAACCCAGATGCTACTGAATCATCCATTTCCAGGGCAGATATGAACGTAGACTGGCTGGAATCCAGTAATCTTTGGCTTCTCAACCCAAAAACAGCTTTATCCTTTCAGCTGATTAAATGACGACCCATTAAGCCTGTCTACAAATATTTTGTAACCTCTTCCCTATTTGTATATTTTTGTTCCTTAATACTGGGGCTTCCTGAAGACCTCTTGAATTATAACACACTGTGTTAGTGTGGAGCTCTGATCACTCAAGCTCATCATTTTATGCTTTTCACGTCGGTCTATTCAAAAAGCAGCGAGGTTGGTTTTAGCTGAGTGTTCTAGTTTGTTTTTCACTTCTTTTTACTGTAATACACCTTTCCTCTAAATCAAATCTCTAGTGATGCACTGGAAAAAAAATCAAAATCTAGATAAGTAATTTTTTCTTAAAATAAGTGCATTTGTTCTTGAATTGAGGAGGTAAAAGAGACATTTTGCCAATGGAACAAGACAATTTACACTTAAAATAAGAAAACACAATTGCATTGTCTTATTTCAAATGCATATTCTCTAATTATCTTATTTTAAGAGTAAAAATACTCATTCCATTGGCAAACTATCTCATTTACCTACTTAGAATAAGGATAAATACACTTAATTTAAAACGTTTTTACTTATTTATAGTTCGTTTTTGCAGTGTGGTGAGATGAAGCCTCATTGAACCGTTTTGGACTAATTGCTTCAATGATCCTCACAGTTCATGAAGCTTCATGTGAACATGTCGCCACCTACTGGTGGAGTGCAGAACTACAGTTGGTAATAGAATATGATTTTTTTTTTTTTTTTTCCATTTAAGTTAATAATTGGTGTGTATAATAAAACCTTTTCTAAGTTTTTTTTTTTTTGTGTAAAATGTTTTAAACAGTGTAACTTAAACAATTGTTCTCTTCTGTCATTTTAATGAAATAAGCTTAAGCAGACGGTGAAAGTGCTTGTGCAAATTGGGCATTGATGAGCAAAATGAAAGGTGTTAGTCATTCTATTCAAAAATAATTTATCTCAATTTTTTTGTTTTCATCAGGTTGGAAGTTATGTATAAAGCTTATAGTTAGAGGGGCTCAGGTTATCCTGAGCTATCGCTATAGTTATGCTGCTATAGGCTTAGACTTCTGGAGGACATACGGACCCCTATTTCATCATTCCGCTTCATTCTATTTCTCCCACTCTGCAGAAGTTCAATCTCTAATGCTACGCTCTTTCTGCTTTTTCTCATAGTAGCTTCACCTAGTCTGTTCCTGTTTGGCCATGACACCATCCTGGAGAAAAATACCAGCTGTGCTGCTTCCATCAACAGCATCCGGACATGGGAACTGGCTCAGAGCTCATCTGCCTGGCTGTTTTTCTTCTGGACGGGGCCACCCGTGGAGCTGATTTACAGTTGCTATTTGTATCTC